ATAAAAAACACCCAGTCAGGGTCGTACCCCTAATATTAACTCTAATTTGTTGCTGCAATGATTCTCCCATCGCGACGATAACTGACCTCGTCTGATCTGCTTCAGCACTCAAACACCCGCTCGTCAATGTCTAAATGTTTGAGCCCAATCAAAGCATGCGGGATTTTAGTTCACAGAAGCGCGAGCCGAGCGCGAATCCCAACGCGACGCTTCACTTCAGTTAACGATCATACAGTGCGAGATAAGATGCAAGTAGCTAAAATAAACTGCTGTTTTTCGATAGAAGTTTTAAATGACCGACAGAAATAATCAGTTTGATCAAAGACAGTGGAAATTATAAGCTCAATTTAACAACACAAAGCACCCTATTACATATATTGCCATTATTATTGTATTATATTTGTATAACGTTCGAGTTCGACTTTTCACTGTTTGTATCACTCCGCTTGTCTGTGTTTGCACAACTTGCATCATTAAGCCAGAAGGCGGCGACAAGTGACTGTCTTTATGAGTGAGCAATTGAACCATTAATTAAATGAACAGATTAGTCCAAAAACATTGATTCATTTAGGAAAGAAAAAGTAGCTGAAACTGGAACTGATTCTCAAGTTTAAGAATCTGATCAAATACTTCATGCTTTTAAAGCTACTGTTGTCCATTTTTTGGCCATCAAAACACCTTAAAATGCTCATGTCGAGATCAGGAAAATCTAAATTTTCTCGGGGGGCCTTGCCCCCGAACCCCCCTAGCAATATCATTTATTGGACCTGGGTATTTAGAAAACCCTATGTACGGCCCTGATATGCAAGAATACTAGTGATTCTAAATGTTCTATTGTATTCATTATATTCTATATTCTACAGTCTTGCATATTCAATACTAATGCAAGACTAGTCTTACGTCACTGTTTATAACAAAGAGCGTTCATCCTTTGCTGGGACGCTTAAAAAAATATTGGGGGCATAAATTAAGAGTATACCCACTTCTCCAGGCACCACTACATCACTGATCACACCTGATATCTTCTCTGGCAAGGCATCTTGGGAAGAATCTTTTGGCATGCCTTATCCCCCCCCCCCCCCGGCAGTGTTCAGCTGTGATGTCTTGGCATGCAGCATCCATTGCATCCAGGAGAGGCATTTGGTCCTGTGGACGATGGTCAAAAACCTTCCATCTCCAGGCTGAGAAAAACTCCTCAATGGGGTTGAGGAAAGGGGAGTAAGGAGCAAGGACAAGGGACATCATCCTCGGATGGGCGTCAAAACAGGCTGTGACTAAACGGGAATGGTGGAATGCCACATTGTCCCATGTGATCACATATATTGGCAAGTGGTCTCCCACCTGTCCCCTTTCTACCTCTGGCACCAGTCTTTCATGCAGTTCTTCTAAAAACAGGAGAAGGCGGTCAGTGTTGTAAGGTCCAATCTCACATTTATGCAGGAGTGCACCGTTGTTGGTGCACATGGTGATGTTGGCTCCTCTCTGGCCCGACATGGTAACTGTGGCCCTTTAGCCAATTATGTTTCTTCTGCCCCGATGCCTTTTCACCAAGTTGAAGCCAGCCTCTTCAACGTAGATCATTTCATGCGGGACTTGATCGGCCTCCAACTCAACAACTCTCTGAAAGTAATCAGACACAGTGTGTGTAAACGCTTTGCTGTATACTTACTTTATTTCCTACTACAGGATCAACATTATAATATGTGTAAAAACTGAGAGGATGGAATGAGAAGTTTTCTTGTCTTCCTCTCATGCTGTTGAAAGGAGTTAAGTACAGTAACCAGTGTAAGTAAGTGTGACTAAACCTCGAGTGGATCCTCAAACGGTCTGCAAAACCTCATACAGCAGCTCCACCCACCTAATCGTGAAAGTCTTGCACACATTTTGGGGACTGTCTCTGCTTGTTAGCAGTGCAAGGGTAAATAAAAAACTAGTTATTTGATTAAGTACAGTGTTTTCTTTATTCAAAACATATGTGTAAGGCTAATGTTTTATGTATTTGAGGAGCGTAGAAGAGTGTGTTGGTCTGGGATCTAGTCATTGCCAATAAAGCCTGTTCGTAACACTTTATCTTTTATAACACAAGCTTTTTGCCAAATATATTAAACGACAGTAATAACTGAGTGCCCACAAATAGATGCAATAACCTTTGTAACCTGTAAGTTGATGAAAACTTAATGCAACCGTTCTAATGACGGACAAAACACAAATATCGGACATTCGCTGGTGAAAAACCTTGTGACTCCATTTGAGCTTCATTTTGGGAAAATGTTAATAATATAATGACACATGCAAGTGTCTGACCATAAAGCCTAACCCATTACTAACTTTGACAACAAGGTGTACTAGAAAATATATATATTTTAAATTTCCTGAATAGAAGTGGTTCTACACTAACCTGCAATTTTTTGCTGGTTTCAAAACACACCACGCTTGATATAACCTGCCATATTAACATATCCTCGGATAAACTCCTGCGATCCAACAGTTAAAGCCAGGACATTGCCTTGCGACTTACATAGGATGAACTGAGAGCTGAGTGCAGTCTTTTCACTCACATTATATCATGCGGTGACGTCACATTTTCTTTGGCATTTGCATTTGAATTCATGATTGGTTGACTGTCAAATAAACAGAATGATAAAATAACGTTATTAACCAGTTAATGGTAACTTTAAATAAGTGTAAACTTGATTTAGTTTTGTTCCTGTTAAAATTTCGTTAGTTTCCAGTTTTTGTTTTCGTTCCTTGAACCGGTTCGGAGCTCTGTATGGAACATTTAAGCATGAAAACCTGTTCTAGTAGAGCCCAAAAACAACTACAATACTTTGTAAAAGGTCATAAAAAAATGTATGGTCATGGATCATTGGGACTTTGTTTATTGAGATTTCTTTTGTTAGTAGATGCAGTCATTATACACTCTTGGGCAAAAAAACTAAAATGGGCCAAGCACAAAATGGCTAAACCCTAAGCTTTTAATTTGTTAACCACAAATTTTTTGTCTGCAAATTAGCAAATATTTTAAGCAAATGCACTACTTGAAACCATTGCAGTCTCAGAAAAGCATCAAAGAAAGAATTAAGTTTTTGGCAGAATATTTTAAGTTGTGTATGGAGTGATGAATCACAATAAAAAACACGAGTTGCATGGTGATGCTCCAGAGCGGCATCTTCACAAATCTGCTGAAAAATATAATAATAAATGCTTCTCTACCCCACTGTCTTTATCACTGTGAAAAGTCCTTTGGAGAATGGCTCACTTCACACAAATGAAAATTTGTTATCAAAAGAGGAATGAGATGTTATTTTTTCTCCTGCTCGCACTGCAAAGACAAGCAAGAAGTGGCTTGAGAACAAGTCCATCAGGTTCATGTTTTGGCCTGATCAGAGTCCAGATTTGAACCCTATAGTAAATATTTTGTCTCATATTAAACTCAAACAAACTGGGAGAATTTTTTCACTGTGTTTCAACAGTTTGAAGCCATTAACATTGAGTGGAACAACACTAACTCTTGTTCCAAGGTGATGGCATCCACTATCTAGTGGGCCAACCTCTGTTTGGAGACAGCCTTTACCCTTCTGCTGACCTCCAAAGGAGACGAAGAGCTGCTCTGAGCTTCTGAAGCTCTTGCAAGTTCACCACCAGTCCCAAAAGGAGTTAAACATGCCACCGAGGTAAACATGACGCCACTGAACCTGGGGGATGCCTGGTGAACTGAATGTGTGTGTGGGTTGGGGGTATGTTAGTGCTGGGGTCCAACCCGGGAAGCACAGCGTCCCGGAGTAGACGCAGTGAGTTGTAGTGCACTTACTTGGCTCCGTGGGTCCCGTGAGGGACTGAGCAGGGAGGCGTGAGGAGCGGACGCTGATGCTTACTGTGGCAAAATATGAACAAAATGAGTAATGTTGGTCGTATTTATACCCGTATGTCCGGGTAGGTGTGACTCGGCATGTAAATCTCACTGGCCAATGTTCATTGGCTCGTTTTGTAACCACTTGGAGGTGATTGGTCTCCCAGGCGAGACCCCATGACGTCAGTCCGACTTAAAGCGGTCATGAACTGGCTTTTTAAAAAAATATATATTGTTGTCTGAGGTCAACTTATGACGTTCGCTTGGTTTTTACATTCAAAAACATCAAAATGAATAAGTAATAGGCTATTTTCTACCCTAGTTTTGAGCCTAGCTCAAAAACGCTCGGTTTTTATGGGCGTCTCGCATTGAAGACTTGGAAGTTAAAGCCCACTGCTGTGAGTGGATAACAGTTTTGCATATTATAATGAGTTTCGTGTAATGCGCGAATCGGTGGGCGGGGCTAAACCGGCCGTGTTGAAGTAGGCGTTGATCTTCTTCTGCGGGGGTGGTGTTTTATCCTCTTTTTCGTCATAGTTCCCCACTTTGAAAAACGAGTCGTTTGCTGAGCCTGGTGTCAATAAAAGCTTTTATTGGACTAACAAGGACGTTTTCAGTTCTGAAACTTACAGGATATTCTTATAATATGATGACCTCTTAGATGTCAAAAGCTCAAGGAAAATTTGATTTCTCAGTTCATCACCCCTTTAACTGAATGGGAACTGGAGTTAAAACACAATATTCTAAAGAAGCTTTCTCTGGAGTATAAGGTCTATAGAGTGACTGTCAATGTTGTTCAGGTGTCATGTTACAGTCAGAGTCACGCGCTCGCTTCATCAACAGTGTTTACATAACATTGCAAGCAAATGGCATGATGTGACTATAGTTTAGTCTATAGTTTTGTCATGTCACGTCATGCCATTTGCTTGCAAAGTCTTCACAGAAACTGTTTGACCTTTCAGGACACCAATGTACGAGCTAATTGGAAAGTCAAGATTGTAGCTTCCCACTGGAAGCAAAGTTATTGCTAAATTTACTTTCTTTCTTTACCCCACTGCATTTCTTAAATATCTAAATTGAAACAAGATGTTTTAGCAAGTAAGTTTATGAACTCTTTGATATTCACATATAGTTTAATTGTTCTTTTCAGGAATGGAGACGTTTCGCCATCAGACCTGAAGGGTGAGTCAATGTGTTCAGCATCCCAACTCAAATCAGATTCACTAAATTAAGCTTGAACAGAGAGAAGGACATGGCCAGTAAACATGAGTTTAAAACAGTGTAAACATGTCTGTATAGCACGTTCTCCAGTAGAGGTCATCATAACCTTGCATATGCATGCCCTCCATCACCTATGCTGCAGTGTCATTCAGATACTATTGTACTTTTAAATAAAGAGGTTTAATAATAGTTAACTTTTTTTTTTTTTTTTTTTTGGATTTATGTGTTTTTGTCATTTTTATTATTTTGTATAAAAATGTGTTTATATATATAGATTTTATTTCAGTTTAGTTTTAGTTATTTAAGTATATTAAGTTAAACTAAATGAAAATGTGAAATATTGCAATTTCAGTTCGGTTAACGTTTATTTTATTTCAAGTGAGGAAAATGTTTGGTTTTAGTTTGCTAACAATTGTATGTTTATATTAGAGGGAACTTATTCAACTGGTTATAACCATCATTTGTTAGTGTTGATAGAGCCTCCTAACTCTCCCTTTGTGCATCTTTTCTAATCCTTTCCAAATAACTATTACAAATAACCAAAAGTGTGGCACTTTATCTGTTAGTGGCAGATAGGGTTTGCGAGGATAGTAAACGCAGAGCACCTGAATGAATCAGCGCTGTGAACGTGAAGTCACTTTTATCTAGATTACTTCACTTTATCTTTATGGATGAATGAATGAAGGTGATGTTGCTCACACATATAGACTGTATTCAGCTGAACTGGTTTAACCATTACCCTTGCTCTGTTTTTTTATTTTTTGAATTAAATTATTTTACAAAGTTGTTAATTATCTTCATTCACCATATCATTTAACAATCACATGTAGAGTTGCAGTTTTGTAAATAGAAGCAGCTCTATTTACAAGTCAAAACACTAAAAGTCAAAGTAGCGCAAGAGTCAGGAAGGCAAACACATGTGAGGAGTAGAGCTCAACGTAACACCAACAACAGGATCAACTTCAGAAAACACGCACACACACACACACACACACACACACACACACACACACACACACACACACACACACGCACAGGTGCTAACCATCACAACAGGAAACAGGAAGACCAGCCACAATAGTAAGAGTCACAGGGAAAGAAAAAAATACAAACAGTGACCTCAAGTGGTCACAAAAAGGACCATAATTACACCGTAAAGTACATTTAGTGTGATTGCTGTTTGATTTCTATTTTTCTCTTTAAAAGTTCTCTTCTGAATGAATGATTAATGCTGTTGCTGTTTGATCTGTAAAGATTAAGACATTAGTTCATCAAGCTTGTTATGTTCCTGTTTTCTGTTTAAACAGATGAACCTGCTGAAAGCTCTCACAGCAGTTCAGGTATGTCAGTTCATTTAAACTCAAATCTGCTTCTCAATTTTCACAATAATCAAAGAGTACCATATGAAGAATCAATGGACTGTAAATATTCCCTGCATATGACAGGTTTCACAAATAAATAACTTTTTGTTCCAGCATGTATGTCTTGTGCAGAAACACACTAAAAACACACGAATCAGTGCATTGCTGGAACAAGTATACACACCTTTTGTATTTACCTGGGTTTCTGCAATAAATCAACTCAAGTCACATGACACAAAAATGATACGTTTTGATACCATGTTAAACAATGCCTGTGCAGGGTGGAAAAAATGATGTGAACCCTTGGATTTTGTGTGTATTTAGTGCTCGACCCTCGTTCAGCAACAATAACCTCTACAAAACATTTCATGTAATTGTGTTCAGAACTGGAGGAAATTTGCAAACTTTGACACACATATATGACTTGTATTTTGTTGTGGATCAGAAGAGCAGCTGTTAGTTAGAGTTCACAGACTGCTCCAATCTCATTTATTCTTCTGCTGCACAACACACCATATGAAGAGGAGAGCTTCACTGAGTTGAGCTTGGGAGGTGAGAGTTTTTCTCAAAGACACATGTATCACACGATATTGTGCATGTGTGTGTTCAGATAATACCTCAGCTGAGGAGAGCTCAGAGGAAGAGGAGGCCCATGAAGAGGAAGAGGAAGGAGATTCAGGTTGAGATTTGCTCTCTTTATATAATCTTTTCTGATACTTTTTATACCTTTATCTCCTTAAAACATGAATATTGTACACTATATGAACAAAGGTATGGGGACACACCGCTTAATTCTTGAATTCAGGTGTTTCAGTGAAACCCATTGGCACAGGCGTATAAAATCAAGCACCTAGTCATGCTTGCTTACAGACATTTGTGAAGGGTCGTTCTGAAGAGCTCAGTGAATTCAAGTGTGGGACTGTGATAGGATGCCACCTTTGCAGTAAGTCAGATTGTGAAATTTCATCCCTGTTAGATATCCCACGCTCAACTGTAAGTAGTGTTATTGGAAAGTTGAAGCGTTTCGGAACAGCAGAAACTCAATTCAAAGTCAGAAGATCATGTAAAGTCACAGAGCGAACCGGTCACTGAGTACTGAGGCGTAAAAGTCCCCAACGCTCTGCTGAGGAGTTACACACTTCCACTGGCATTGATATCAGCACAGAAACTGTGCGGCGGGAGCTTCACGGAGTGGGTTTCCATGGCCGAGCAGCTGCATTCAAGCCTCACATCAGCGCCTACAATATCAAGTGTGTAAAGCACACTGTCACTGGACTCTAGAGCAGTGAAACCTGCCGAATCACGCTTCTCTGTGTCTGATGGGCGAGTCTGGGTTTGGCAGATGCCAGGAGAACGTCACCTGCCTGACTGTGAGGTTTGGTGGTTATGGTGTAGGGCTGTCTTTCAGGGGTTGGACTAAGCCTCGGGAAATATTGATGCTTCCGCATACCAAGACATTTTGTTCAATGCGATGCTTCCAACATTGTGGGAAGGCCTTTTCTATTCCAACATGAGTGTCCCCATTGCACAAGGCAAGGTCCATAAAGATAAGGATGGATGAGTGTGGTGTGGATGAACTCGACTGGCCCGCACACAGAGCCCTGACCTTGACCCCATCCCAGAGATTGACCTTCTCGTCTTTCTCGCTCTACTGGATAAATGGGCAAAAATGCCTACAGAAACTCCAACATCTTGAGGAAAGCCTTCCCAGAAGAGTGGAAGCTTTTATAGCTGCAAAGAGGGATCGACTCCATATTAATGTCTATGTATTTCAAATGAGATGTCATTACAGTCCCTGTTGGTGTACTGGGCAGGTCTCCCAATACTTTTGTACATATAGTGTATGTAAATAGTAGTGTACTGTTTATAAAGCCTGAGTGCTTGTAAAGTACCTCGCTATTTTAAAGCAGATGAAGTGCTCTAAAAACAGTGCTAAAGCCTAATATATAGCAATAAATAATCACAGTAATGGACACCAAGAGATTTTATTGTAATGACTTGTTTTATTGTGAGATAAAAATTAAATGTGAAGCTTTCAGGGCTCTTATAACTGGTCCAGTTTTTCACACCTTGAGTGAAAGATCAATCTTAATGATGGAATATCATGCTTTTTCAGACTCCAACACGAGATCCGGTGTAGAAAAACCCAGCGGTAATGATACTTCTCTCTGTTTTCAACATGTTTCAGATGTTTACAGCGTGTGCGTTTGTTGAGTCATATAGTGTGTTTCTCTCCCATAATGCCTCAGATGAGCAGCTTCAGCCGTGCTGTGAGAAGTGCAGAGCACTAAAGGTCAGTCTGTCTCTGAACACTGATAACATCAGCCCAACATTAACATTTCCTGATAATTTACTCTCCTCCACGTTATCCAAGATGTTCACGTCTTTCTTTCTTCAGTCGAAAATGAAGGTTTTTGAGGAAAATATTCCATATAGTGACTTCAATGGCGTCCAACGGGTCGAAGGTCCAGATGTGAGTTTCAGTGCAGCTTCAAAGTCTCGACACGATCCAGCCGAGGAATAAGAGTCTGATCTAGAGAAACCAGCGCACATTTATAACAAAATACACAATTATATACTTTATAACCACTAATGCGTTGTTGAAAATCCGGTTCGCGTACCCCGAAGTGATAAAATAAAATTCTGTATCAAATTTATAGGCAAGACAAGTAGTTTGTTTAGGCATGGTTTGTAGGGAAATTACAAACCTGCGCACACATATTCAAACGAATATAACTATAGAATCAATTTTGAATGCGCATGTGAACGCCATCCGTTCACAGGTTCGCGTTTAGAGAGAACGCCGTCGTCTTAGCGGCCCCTAATGTAATAACAAATGATCATTTTGCTGGAAGTGAATCATTCAAAACCAACTTTAGCTGGAAATAACATTGTTCAAAATCGCTATAAAGCCAAAACAATCTCTGCTACCGTAAATTGTATGTTTATCTCTGTAAAGCTGCTTTGAAACAATCTCCATTGTTAAAAGCGCTATATAAATGAAGATGACTTGACCTGACTTGACTAATGCTGGTCTTGCACTAGCTGTGATGCGACACACATCACGCAATCAGGTTGAAAGTACAGACCTAGTGTTTACAAAGCGGACATGCAAAGACTAAAGCAAAATCCATTTACAATCAAAATAATTCAATAAAAGGTAAAACAACTATCGTCGGATGATTTTGAATGACGCAATGACGGAGTGATGAAAACGTGACACAAATGAAAACTTAGCTTTTCTTTGTTTACTCTGGACATTCATCTAAACACAGCATCTAAACACACACACACACTCATCACAGTAGTAATATTTAAACATTTTAATCCAATTCAAGCACATTATTTCGCCAACCATTTTAAATATAGCAAATATATGTATATTTAAATGTATTTATACATTTCAAGCAATTTAATCTCTTGTCTGTTTAGAAGAGCTTGAGCTGCTATTGTCTGGTTTCATTGTGCAATAATGAGCACTAATATATATATATATATACAAAATCACTGTAGGCTAAGCTTTGAAAACTGTCTGTTTGATTGACAGATTAACTACTGGTGATGAATTTAATGCCGACATGCAACTGTTTTTTCCCTCACAGAATCCCAAATACGAGCTCGTCTCCCCCAGGAAAATGTCCAAAGAACGGCTCCTGTAAGTTCCTCTGTTCCAGATTTACTCAGTGTTGTTGCAGTATGGTGATCAGTCACATCTGACTCAGAAGTCACGTCCCCTTGCTTTATGACTCCTTTTTCTAAATGACCAGTGCTGAACTTGAACACGCCAGGTTTATAAGAATCCGGGATAATATGAGAATGGTCAAATGTGTCATTTTATTCTTTCTATTCCCCAGTGAATAATACATGAAGAAAGCCGAGGTTCATAGAGCAACATGTGAACTAAGTTTTTAAAAGAATTGAATGCATCTTTGCTGAATAAAATGATTAATTTCTAAAAAAAAAAAAAAAAAAATGTTACTGACCCCAAACTTTTGAATAGCACTGTGTGTGAAAACAGAAAAAAAGCATTTATACCAGTATTGAAATGTGAAATGTTAAACCTTTTTAGATGCACCGCATCCAAAATAAAAGTTTGTTTATGTAATATATGTGTGTGTACTGTGTATAATTACACACATATGCATGTATATATTTATGAAAAATGTAAATTTATATTTCTAAATAAAATATTTATATATAATATAAATTATGTATAAATATATTCCATATATACATGCAAATATTTCTTAAATATATACAGTACATGCATATAGTGTGTATTTATATATACAAAATAATTAAACAGTACACACACATATATTACGTAAACAAACTTTTATTTTGGATGCGATTAATCGCGATTGATCATTCTACATTGAATTGTGATAAAAGGATCCTGAGAACTGCATAGGCTGTAAACTAAACGAAACACGAGTGAACACTACATGAGGAAACGCTGCCACGGACTTCCCATTGCTCTCCCAGTGATGTTCATGTTGTTCTGCTGTAGGCTAAAGCTGGATGCCGAGGGTGTGTATGAGTGTTCAGACACTGGGCTGGTGTTCGAGGTCTCCCAGCGCGTCAACATCACATACTGCGTTCTCTCCTGGAGCAAGTTTAGCACATACTTGACCGGATCATGGAAATTTGCCGGACCCATTTTTGATGTGGAATGCGATCCATCCATTCTCAAATCCGTCCAGTTCCCACACTCACTGTGTCTGGCAGGTACAGAGATATCAAGTCAAGTCAGCTTTATTTATATGGACTAATGCGGGGTGAAAGTGCTCTTTGAATAGTTTTGACATGATGGAAAAATGTTTCTTTGTAACCATTCTCCTGGTCTCTTCCTGTATATGCGTCCGCCGCTCTCAGCAGATAAAGACAACGAGGTGAAGTTCAGCGTGCTCCATGTGAAGAACAGCCGTGGTCAGATCGAGCCCTCGGCCGATCACTCCGGGAGTCACGTCAAATGGACCGTGTCTTCACTTTCACCCGTGGGTCCCATTGTTCAGACGTCTAAGTCAGCAGAGCATCATGGGGTCGTGCAGGTGTTCAAAGAGGTGGGCCATGAAAACTCCTTCTCCTTCAGAGTTTACCTGGCTGGAAACAACTGCTCTGACATCAAGGTGAGGAAACTAAAGCGCTTCTGCTTTCACAAAAATATGACGAGTCCATCGGTGTTTACAGAACATGGCTGACTGGCCGTACTCTCGGTTACCCTGCGCTGTAACCTTTTGGTAATCTGCTATATTTAGATGTGATTGTAGGCTTAAACGAGAGCAAGGCGGTGCTGTGCACAGGGACTAGTGGCAGTCAGTAGGAGTGATGACATCACACCAGTTTCAGTTCTGCATCTCTGCCACTCTGTGATGTTTGGTTGAAGTGGGTGGCTTTGTGTTCATGTGTAATAGTTTCATCATCTAATAAATAATCCCTGCCCGAATTTCAGCATCGTGCTTTCAGCTTTCACAGTATCTGACACTTTCCATGACTAGGCTACAATATAGAGCTTGAATGAAACTCATGGAACTTATTTAAATATGAGGGAAGAACAAAACACTAAACTTAAGGCAAACTACAGTTACTGGTTTTATTTTACTATGCACAAATGCCTAGAATGCAAAGTTCTCTCTTGTTTTTGCATGTGTTCAGAATTTCAAAAAAATGATGTCCACTTAATTTGACAAATAAAGCAATTGACTAACTACGCAATATTGTTACAAAATATTTAACACATTTTTAATTATAAATGAATGAAGAGTTAAGATGTGAATTTTCCTAGGCTGGACATCACTTTTGGCCACTACTGTATATAATGTCACTTCCCAAGTGTCACAATTTAAGGACTGCACATTTTTTTATAGGTAGAAAACATCTCAAGTTGTGAGTACAGCCCAGTCCCCTGAGAAAGGGAACAAAACGCTGCGTCTTGGTGTTGATGCTATGGGGAATGCAATACCCACTATGCCATGCTGAAGAAAATTCCTGGCTTACTAGGCTGTATCATAGACTGAAAAAAACGATGGACGATCTTCCATTGGTCAGAAGTGAAGCCGCCAGTGTCCCGATATGGCGCTGACATCTTGGGGCTTGAGTCTGCGCGGAAGCGATCTCGGGACCAGACCTGCGCAGTCGTGAGCCGGAAGTAAAGCCGTGAAATCAAGGCCCCGCCCCCACTCTCGCTGAATCAATCGCAAGCACACACTCTGGCACTTTTTTTTAATTAATTATAGAAATTTAGATATTAAATTTAAAGCTCCAATCTCCTCAGTCCTCCGAAGATGCCGAAAAAAAGTCTGTTGGTGCTTCAGTGACTACTTCGCTCAGAGAACCTGTCAATCGCAGCTGTCAATACAACAATACAGATTGTTTTAAAGCAACTTACAGAGATAACAGGAAAATAATGCAAGTTTGTTTATAGAAGAAAATAGCATCACAGTCCAGCTTAAGTAAGTTCGGTTATGGTTAATTTTTGTTGTAAAAAAGTTATTAATTTAGTTCACCTATATATATATATACCTGCTCTGGAGAAAACCGTGATGTCATCATCCAGCTCAGTTCAGTTCAGTCTCATATAATGGTGTCAATGCAGGCAGATCAATAATATTGTTGAATATTAAATTAAATGTCCCCAACTAAGCAAGCCAAAAGCCAAAGGCGAAAAAGGCGACAGTGGCAAGGAACCAAAACTCCATCAGTGACAGAATGGAGAAAATTTACCTTGGGAGAACCCAGGCTCAGTCGCTCAGTTCTCTTCTGGCCAACGAACGAACAGTGTATGATTATGATTCAGGCAGCATTACAGGTCAGAAGTCAGATTGGATCAGAAAATTCAGAATATTATCCAGTTCCATCTGGTTGAAGATCAGAGTCATCACGCCGGTATGGAGACGGGTTTGTTGAGGATCAGTGCTGATGGCTGTCGTGTCGATAAGGCCTTCACAGGGGAGAGTCTAGTTGACACAATCTCTGCTGACACTTTAGGGATGCGTTGTGGTCGTGTCTAGGCGCAGGTCCACCATTTGATCTGGATACGGCCTGGATCCGGTTGACTACATCATGCGTTGTGGTCATGTCTAAGCGCCTCCATCTGATCTGGATACCGCCCGGATCCGGCTGATTACATCATTCGTTGTAGTCGTGTCTAAGAGCAGGTCCTCCATTAGATCTGGATATGGCTAGGATATGGTCCAGGTCCTCCATCAGATCTGGATACGGGCCGGATCCGGCTGACTACATCATGCGTTGTGGTCGTGTCTAGGAGCAGGTCCTCCATCTGATCTGGATACGGCCTGGATCCGGTTGACTACATCATGCGTTGTGGTCATGTCTAAGCGCCTCCATCTGATCTGGATACCGCCCGGATCCGGCTGATTACATCATTCGTTGTAGTCGTGTCTAAGAGCAGGTCCTCCATCAGATCTGGATACCGCCCGGATCCGGCTGACTACATCATGCGTTGTGGTCGTGTCTAAGCGCCTCCATCTGATCTGGATACCGCCCGGATCCGGCTGATTACATCATTCGTTGTAGTCGTGTCTAAGAGCAGGTCCTCCATTAGATCTGGATATGGCTAGGATATGGTCCAGGTCCTCCATCAGATCTGGATACGGGCCGGATCCGGCTGACTACATCATGCGTTGTGGTCGTGTCTAGGAGCAGGTCCTCCATCTGATCTGGATACGGCCTGGATCCGGTTGACTACATCATGCGTTGTGGTCATGTCTAAGCGCCTCCATCTGATCTGGATACCGCCCGGATCCGGCTGATTACATCATTCGTTGTAGTCGTGTCTAAGAGCAGGTCATCCATCAGATCTGGATACCGCCCGGATCCGGCTGACTACATCATGCGTTGTGGTCGTGTCTAAGCGCCTCCATCTGATCTGGATACCGCCCGGATCCGGCTGATTACATCATTCGTTGTAGTCGTGTCTAAGAGCAGGTCCTCCATCTTATCTGGATCCCGCCCGGATCCGGCTGACTACATGCGTTTTGGTCATGTCTAGGCTCAGGTCCACCATCTGATCTGGAAACAGCCAGACACTAAAGGAACATTCTCCATAACTTCTGACCTCAGATGAGGGAAGTCCAGGTTTAGACAGCCCCATTCTGGCCACCAGACAGCTAAAACCCCAGTAGCAAAGCTATAAGGGGAATACACAACACAGCATCAGCTAAGCTATGATAGGCCTGAGAGGCTCATAGGGAACAGTTTACCAAAGCATGCAATGCCAAACCTAGCAGTAATTACCTATAGCTACAACATTAGTATCTACATCCAAAGGGAAGCATATGTCCCAACCACAACAAAATCATAGAGCAAGGAGGTAACGACACCATGGACCAGGCTCTCTACCCCATGGGAATCTTAGGGGAACTTAAGCCCTACTTAAAACCCCAATAACAAAAAGTGGCACCTAAGGTGGAACTTTCTTACCCTGGCTCTTAGGACAACAACCAAGCTGCATGAATTTAAGTCTAAACTCAAAACTCATTTGTTTCAACAGTATTATCAGTCATGACATGTTTTTAAAAAAAATTCACAACTCTGTATTACAGTCATAATGTTAATTTAGGTACCATTATTCTTTTGCATCTTTACTTCAACTGCCCACCTTCCATGCTGTCAGTAAATAGGGTTGTTTTTTGTTTCTGTTTTTGTTTTGTCTGTATTCCAAATGTAATCCGATATGCACCTGCAATCGCTCATTTTCCTGGACTGGGCAAATATCTATTGTCCATTTATGTGTTAACTGATTGTTTGTTCTTTACTGTTTACTGTTATTGTGAAGCGTCCTTGAGCTTGGGAAAGGCGCTATATAAATTAAACTTATTATTATTATTATTAAGGTAATTGGTGCGATCCACCCATAATCCTTATTTCCAAGCTCATACCCTGACTAAGGTAAAGAGCACTCTAGAGACCAGTATGGCTAGCGATCCAATCCATAGCGCTATGCCAAGAAATAAAAAGAATCTCACTAAGAAGCTCACTTATCTGCATATACCAACCCTAAGGAGGTACTCGTCTAAACGGGAAGCTTTTATGCCTACTTAAAATTCCAAATAAATAAGGGCAGAAAAGATAAGAGAAGATATTTTCACTATTTTCTTCATTAGCTCTACCCTGAGAAAGAGTTCAGAAATTCAAGCAGAATAGGCAGTAACAGAAGGATGACAACAGTGGTCCATCTATCCCGATAGTCCACTCTCCAGTCAGGTGGAGGGGGTGGGATGTCCTTGGACATACAACCGTACTCCGACACATCAACTGAAAGTTTCTTGCCGAATATGAGAATGCGCCAGCATGCATTACATAATGAATGTAAAAGTGAGACAGGTGACAGAGAGAGTGGATTCCTCTGGCTTAACACCTCCAGCTATGCTGCAGGAATGGCCTGATAAAAGCGAGGGTTGCAATATCTCACCACGACCAACACATTCTCCATTCTCTGGACCTAAACCCCAGAGGAGCATGCTGAACAACAGCTTTGCTCTAGACCAGATAAGATGGCAGATCACATCATCTCACAGCGACTCACGCTGTTAAGGTTAGTCATTATGTTTTGCAAGCTGGCGCATTCTTTGTCAACGTTAATCCATACTCTGTGCCTAAGCTCTTGCAAAGCATAATAAATAAAGACAGCTGTGTGCAACTCTGTCCACCTCTTTAACCTCTCCATAGGAGAACTCCCGGAGTAGAATTTATGTCCCGAAAGCTGCTGACTGAGACCCTGGCTCTGTAATCTTCTCCAAGACCGCTTTACCGGCAGACTGAAAAGGCCAGAGTGTGAGATCAGAGCATCAAGGAGACATTTTTTGTCTTCTCCTTATCACAGATGCATCTCCCTGGCAACTATAGCAAGCAACTCTCTACACGCATATAGTTTGACTACATGGGAGAGACTATACGAGCTGCATACAGATTCCTTCATGATCCTCAACACCTCAATTTGGAGATCTAGGACGAATAAAAAGGCTCACAGACTTATATGCAGGACAGCGGAGGAGGATTATAAATTACACCCGCCTCAACTCTCTCTCTCCGTATCCAATTTCTCAAAACTAGACACGCCACATTATCATGCTCTCAGCCAGGTCGGAAGTGGCCACAGAGCGGCTCC